AGGCTGCGCTTGCATCACCGGCTCCGGCTCCGATGTGCAGTGCAAACACACTCACATTCTTGGGTCATGAGAAACTCACGATTGCGGTGACATCATGCCCAGCCAGGAGGCTTTCGACAGCCTCCCTCCTGCCCTGAGTCAAAGCTGTTTAATTAGCGCCCTAAACTGGAACTCTGTCTTCTTGTAAAAACCAACTGGAGTTACTTCCCTGGTGGGGGTGATGGGGAGTGGAGAGAGTGTGTGTGTGTATTTTAAGGGATAAAAATAGCCCATCTGGGACTCCTTTTGGGGTATTTGTGAGTATTCATGCACCGTTGTTTATATTAAATCTATGTCACACTGGACATTTTCGTCTGAATTTGGCCTGGAGGTCCGACAAGAGAAACCACCCATATCTTTTTGTTCCCTCTAGTTCCTTCTTTTGGGATGGAGATGCCATAAACCAAGTAAAAGGGCCCTTGGAGACGATTTAGACCAACCCCTCATTCTACAGCCAAGGAAAGGGAGGCCCAGAGAGGGTAGGGCCTTGCCTGAGGTCACATGGCGAGGCTCCGAGTTCCCACACCGCTCAGATGCATTTTGAGGTACACCCCCGGCCCCCCATTTCAGGGTGTTGGAAAGAGAGGCGCGTTTGGCTAGAGCTTCCTGGCTGTGTTTTGAGATCCAGAGTGGATGTGACGGTGGCAGTGGTGGTGGCGGCACATGTGGAGGGTGGCAGCAGACAAGAGCAAAGGAGACCACAGGCGACCTCAGCCTCCCCCCACTTTCCCTATTTTGGCCCCAACATTTGCTTCCTTGGGCTTTGAAACGTCTCTTCCTCCTTAGATCACCCCTTCTTTTGCTCCCCTTTCCAAGAAGTTACACCCTTCACTGGCCTCCTACCATGATCACTAAAGACTTGTTTCCCACCTTAGGGATGCTAGATTTAGCAAATAAAAGTGTAAGGCACCCAGTTAAATTTGACTTCAGATAAACAACAAATAATGTTTTAGTTAACTATGTCCCATAAATACTGGGACATGCATTTATCTGGCAACCCTCCCCTCCCTCACTTTTACAATCCTCATTGCGGAAGACACTCTTTTTTTTTTTTTTTTTTCTCGGAAGACACTCTTAACTTCCTCCCCACCAACCCTCCCTTTCCTTCTTCGCTAACTGAGCTTTGATTTTGTCTGGGGTGGCAACGTGTCCCAGGTGATGAATCATGGTTGGTCTAAGTTAGTCACAACAATCCTTTTCTCCCTTGATTTCCAAGATTCCTTTGCAGTCAGGGATGACTGGGTGGCTTAAAATTACATCTGCAAGTTCTCTGACATCCTTCCTTTCAAAAAGTGGAGACCCCATCCCCTCCTCTTGAATGTAGGCTGGACTTAGTGATTCATTTCAAAGAGTAACTTCCGAGGCTAGGTCATAAAAACCATTGTCGCTTCTGCCTTGCTCTCTGAAATTACTCACTCTGGGGGAAGCCAGCTGCCATGTTGTGAGGATGCTCAGCAGCTGTGAGAGTCCCAGTGCTGGGTAGATATCTGCATGGGGACAAACTAAGTCCTCCCACCAACCACTAGCCCTAACTTGCCAGGCATGTGAGTGAGCCACCTTGGAAGTGACTCCTGGCCCAGTCGAGCCTTCAGATGATTACAGCACGGGGCCAACATTCTGACTGCAGTGTGAGCCAGAGACATGCTTGCATTAACCGTATTTTTCATTTTCTATATTTGATGATGTTTTTGACATCTTTGGGGCTGGGCATGGTTCCTGGCTGCGGAGAGACCACCCCTCTCAGGGCAGGCTAATTTCTAGAGATGGTAAACAACTTGTCAGTGAGTCTGTCTTTCATATACAAACCAACCGATCCTAAGTCCATACCTCCTTTATCTAATTCTCACCCACTTGCCCTAAATCAGTCCAGGGCCCAGTACCAGACAACTAGGACAGCCCCTGTGCCTCGAAGAATGTTGGAATTATTCTAAGTAGCCAATCCCAAGATGTTTACCCTGCCCTTTCTTGCCTTTCCCATGGAAACCACAATAAAGGATGTGATCTCTGTCTTCTCCTCATTTCTTTCTGCTTCCTGACTGACACTGGTTCTTCCTCCCATGGCCCTGTGTGGTATGATGTACTTATTATTTCTGGGGAGCTGTGAGTAGCATTCAACTTTTCTTTCAATGGTATCGACCTGTCTGTGCTGTCACTTAGTCACCTTTATAAATTAAAACCTGGGAACAAATCAACTCTGAGAGATTCTGAGCCAGAAATTTCTAAGCCATTCCTAGATACCTGAACCACATACAATTTTAGAGACAGTAAACGTTTATTGCTTTTTTAAGCAATTAGGTTTTGAGTAATTTGTTTCAAAGCAAAGGATAACTAATACAGATTGTGACATGACTTAGTTCTGGCTAATGAGTCATAAAGGGAAGTATGCCAGGTGCTTCCAGGAAGCTTATAAAGAATCAGAAGGGAGGCCTGGTGCGGCGGCTCATGCCTATAATCCTACTACTTCGTGAGGCCCAGGTGGGAGGATCCCTTGAGCCCAGGAGTTTGAGACCAGTGTGAGCAACATAGCAAGACTCTATCTCCACCAAAAAATTAAAAAATTAGCCAGGTGTGGTGGTGCATGCCTGGAGTCCCAGCCTTTTGGGAGGCTGAGGCAGGAGGATCACTTGAGTCCAGCAGTTTGAGGTTGCAGTGAGCTATCATGATGCCACTGCACTCTAGCCTGGTGACAGAGCGAGGCGAGATCCTGTCTCAAAAAAAAAAAAAAAAAAAAGAATCAGAATGAAGAGAGCTCAGTGGCTCAGTGGTACCAGCCTCCTTGAACGGGAATGATTCTTACAGAAGTGACAGTCATCTTGAGACCCTGAAGCCCTGAAATATAATGATAGAGGAGTGGAAAAATTAGAACATACCTGTATCCTTAATGACACCATCAAGCTGACTTACCAACTCAGTGACCATCCGCCTCCCGATCTGTGGATAAGCAAACAACAAATGTCCTTGTGGCTTAAGCCACTGTACTTTTGTAACTTGCAGCCTAAAGCATTCCTAACCGATGCAATCAGCATGCACAATGGCAACTCATTTAAGAGAAGTAATTGAGGCCTTGACTTTACTTGTCTAGAATCTGAAAAGAAGCCAAAAGGGCAACCGAGAACCAAGACCAATGTTACAATATGCATACCAGAGCCCAAGCACCTTACTCTCAGGTAAGCTTTTCTGGCCTTCGCTGATAGCCTTTTTGCTTTTACTTTAAACACAATTCTAATAAGCTTATCTAGGGTGTATTCCCAGGCCACAGCAGCATGGAGATCAAATTCAATTAGGTAATCAGTCATCTGCTATGTGCAAAGCACTGTGGGAGGCCCAACTGGGCACCCAGTGTGTGTATATGAATTTTCAGCAGGAGACCAACATGATCCAATTGGTCAGGTAACTTGGGCTGCAAGGTAGAGAGAGACTGAAGCAAGCCTAGAAAGAAGGAAACAAGAAAAGTTGCTAGTGAGTGCCAATTTATTGAGCAACTATTTTTTCCATGGAAAATCCATCTATGGGACAAACCACTCTAACTCTTCATAACAATTGTTAATAATATTGGTTTCCCATATACTCAGAATACTTGTCAGCTTTGACTTCCCAAACCCCTTAAAAGTTTTTACACATGAAATAGGTTGCCTGCCCTGGCTCTGGGTTCTGAGGAGATGTTGAATGTGGCAATTCTAACATACCCCAAAGCACATTTATTTTACTTCTGTGCTTCACAGAAAGGAAGGAAAGCCCAAGGGAGGGAAAGATTCGGCCTAGAGCAGCATAGTAAACTAGTGGCCAAGGGGGGGGCCAGAACCCAGGACTCTGAACCTTCCCTTTCTAGGGGCTGTGAAGAAAGCAACGTGGATTCCCTCAGACCACACAAAAATCGCCTTTCATGAGGAGGCAATTTTTGATGTGATGCTGCTAAGAGCTCCCCTGCCAGGGTCAGGAAGCTCTGCCTGGCCAGGATTTCCTGTGTGTGGGAAAGAAACAGGATGAGCAGATAAATCCTCCAAGGCTTTTTTTCCCAAGGGCATGAGGCCCTCTCCCTGCTAATTCTGCAGCAGCTCTAGCCAAGATGACCGGCCCAGGGACATGCGTTTTGGGTGTTTCTAAACAGTAATTGCAAAGCACAATTGCACACTCACGAAGCCCAAGGCTGGAGGTAGATGAGAAGAGCGCAGGTCACTGTCCCTGCCCTAGGGGATCTGCTTTGGTTTGGGACCTCCCAGAAGCAGACCCTAAGACAAGTGTTCAAGTTCAAGTAATCTCCCTGGGGGTGACCCCAGGGAATCCCTGCAGGGAGTAGGGAGGTGAGAAGGCAGCCACTAAAGGAGGTGTTGTCAAGACAGTTACTTCGGTGGGCAATGGGTGCTCAACCCCACTAGGGAACTCTCAGAGACAGCGTAGGGAACACCTCAGTGATCCCAACCAGCGAGCCAGACAGCCGAGGTATCTATCGGCCAATTCCTGCTGCTTCTGGAACTCTCTGTGCTTCCAGCTTGCCCTAGGGCTGGCCCAGTGTGCCCCTGAGGTCAGAACGACAGTGAGGCGGGGTCACAGGCATTTGCAGCAAACAGCTTGGGTGGGTGGCGGTCGGGGATACTGGCCGCGCCTGCTGCAGGGGCTGAGCGTTAATGAATTTTCCATGCACAGGAAAAGGCGGACACAGGCCCAGGAGACATGCCACTCACCCCCTGGGTGGGGATGCGGAGGCCGCGTGCAATGCACAGCGGGGCTCCCCCAGCACCCCTTCCTTCTCACATTGGGAACCCCCCTTGCCCCGCCCGGGCACAGTGTGCCGGTGCCCAGGACTACGCGTTTCTTCCGCTTAGACACTCAACCAGACCACATTTCCCAGGCTCCCTAGCAGGTAGGGGCGGCCACGTGACTGTCCCCAGCCAATGAAATGTGAGCAGAGTCGCGGGCCGCTTCCAGGCGTGGTCCGGACCCAACAATCGCTCACTGTCCTCTCCCCACCCGGGGTGACCTTGAAGGCCACGTGTTGCAAATGGCGGAATGTTTTTCAACGGTGCTTTGCAGGAAGACGACATCGCAGAAATCACTACACACACTACCGTTATTAGGTGCGGGTTAGTTCTAAGAAGGAAAAGGTTAGGTGTGTCGAGATCCAGGCAGAGGAAGGCCTGGGCAGAGGCCCGGGGCACAGGGAGAAACCTGAGCAAGCCTTGGTGGCTGGAGGTGATGAGTGAGAGGATGTCTTGCAAGGTTCACGGGCTTGTGTGAGGAATTTGATGAGTATGGGCAGGACATTGCCCTTCTCTCCCTGGGGGCAGAGAGCCAGTTCGAAAAATCAGATTGTAAGCAGGAAGGGCTAAGGCTAGAATTTGGGGGTGGGTGTGGCTTGGAGAGAGGTGGAGTTTGATGGTCCCATGCCTGAAGCTCCCTGCCGTGGTCTAGCAGGGGAGAGGCTTTTCTGTCTTCCAGCCACAGCCCAGCTTCACCTCGTTCTCAGATCATATGACTTGAACGTGGTGAGTTTTGAAATCTTGTGCCTAGACCCTCTAGTCCATGGGCTGGTGCCTCTCATCCTAGACGAGTGACTTTGCAATCAAATCAGGGCATTAGAGTCTGCTTTGGGGCTAACCTGGGAGCCTTATGTTGTTAAACCTCAAGTAACTGACTTAATAATGAACTCTTGGGCCTGAGCTGCTGGCCTGACCTCGGGCTGCTTCCCCCCCCCCCCAGCAGTGTCCTCTGGGGAAATGCAGCCGCCCCAGCTGCATCCGTGGGAAGCCCTGGCCCCCACACTTCGTCCTTCCAGCCCTGCTGAGGCCACAGGAAATGACCCTCTTAGCAGCCACGAGCTGCGATCCAGAGGACAATGACAGAGAGGACAGACGCCCATTCGTCCCAGCTAACTTGTCCCCTTGGGTGGATGCCAGCGGCTGCAAACACAAAAGTGAAGATTCGGTGGGAAACCATATTTTTTAAAAAACAAATAAACAATCCCGTGGGCGTTAGCCAACTTCTGAGGCCCTGAGGGGTTTTGTTTTTCTTCAGTTGCATCTGGGCGAGTGTTTAAAACTTAGATAAGAATCAGGGAATCAAAGAGTCTAAAGTTTGGAAGACTAGCGGTCCCACCCAAGCAGCAGGCCCCCCTGTGGCGGCTTTCTTCTTGTGGCCAAGCCCCACCTCTCCACACCCCTGTTAATCTTGTCACTTGGCTCTTGCCACTGCCATTCACTGCCCAGAAGCCAGAGAGCTCTTCTCAAACCAAATCGAGTCACCCCTTCCAGGGCTCTGCATCCAGCTGTCTTGGCTCAAATGCCACCTCCTCCAAGGGCCTTCCCTGACCAGTCTATATGAAGCAGCACCTCCCAGTCTGTCCCTGTTACAGCACCGATAGCCCTTACCACATCTAGAAGGATCTGCTTTGTTTCCCTGTGCCTGGCACATAGTAGGTACTCAATAAATGTTTGTCGACTGACAATGTTTTCCAGTGGTCGTTGCATTCAGATCGAAGTTGGCTCAGCAGATCCAGATTTCATTGTATTTCCACAAACATTGGCTATGAAACTGAGTATTGGGCCAGGAGGTGAAGCAGTCAGGATCCGTCCATTCATTCACTCATTCATTCATTAGAAGGGTAATGAATCAATTCCCAGAGGAAATGGTGATTCAGTGTGAGGGCGCAGAGATCCAAGAAAGCTTTATGGAGGGGGAGGTTGTCAGTGGGGTTTCCCCCAGGGAAGTGGGGTTTAGAGGTGTGAATGAGAATGTGTTTGGAAAAGGAAGAAAACCTTGGGGTCTGGAATTGAATTTATTTCCACATCCCCCAGGGAGGGCAGAGACCTGGTTTTATCTGAGCCTGCAGGGAGGACACTCCACCTGTGCTTGCTAAAGGAAGGGAGGGATGAGGGATGGGTGCAAAAGGCCAGGGGGAGCAGTGTTTGAAGTTGTTCAAGAGGTTGCCATGGAGGCCTTGAATGCCATGCTAAGCAATCTGGACTTCCATCTATAGGAAGTTATTTTTATGAGAGTCTAATAAAAATAATGATTTGGGGAAGCCTGTTTTAGGTGCCTGAATGTGTGTTAAGGTCCTGAATCTCTTCTCTAGCTGCCTCAGACCGTCCCAGGATGCTTCTAGAAAGTACAGCTGCCCGGGCCCCCATCCTAGAAGAGTCTGATTCTCTGTGAGGCAGAGTTGGGGCCTGGTCATCTGCATTTTCACACACTTGCCCTCTGTCCTCATCATGCACCAGGTTTGGTGACCACTGAGGCTCAGAGAGGTGAAGGCATGTGCCCAAGGTCTGTAGGTGGCAGAGGAGGCATTTGAATGGGGTCAGGCTGGCCCTCCACGTTTTACCCGAGTGACTCCAACCTCCCCCTGGGTTGGTTCCTTTCTCCAATTCTATTTTCCTCTGGATGCAGGAATCTGGGCGGTGGCTGGGCCCGCCCCCCCTCCTCCCCTCCCCGCCCCACCCCAGCCTCAAAGGTCAGGTACTCCCAGCCTCCCTCGGTCATGTCCATTTATGGCTCTGTTGTTCCAAATTGTGGCCAAATTTATAAACTCCCCTTTCCTGGAGACATGAACAATTTGTGCAGAGTGCAGTGCGGGGGCAGAGCCGGGAGCTTCGTCGGAAGCCTGGACTTCAGCCCAGGCCCGGGCCCGTGAGCTCCAGCATTGAGCAGGCCCCTGCCCCTCCCTGAGCCTCAGTTTCCTCACCTACAGAGCAAAGGGACTGGACTAGATCATTCCTTAAGTCCTTCCTAAGTCTACACCCATTTACTGCTTAGAAATACCAATTCCCTGAATCCATGAGCCCAGTAATCATAAAAGGAAGTTCCAGGGGCTGCCGTGGGGCCTCTATTCCTCTCTTTTGCATTCCTTTCTTCTTTTGGCTTGATTTTTTTTTGGGGGGGGGGAGGACAGGGTCTCACTCTGTCACCTGGGCTAGAGTGCAATGGCATCATCATAGCTCACTGCAACCTCAAATGCCTAGGCTTAAGCGATCCTCCTGCCTCAGCCTCCCAAGTAGCTGGGACTACAGGCATGCACCACCATGCCCGGTTAATTTTTTCTATATATATTAGTTGGCCAATTACTTCTTTCTATTTATAGTAGAGACGGGGTCTCGCTCTTGCTCAGGCTGGTCTCGAACTCCTGAGCTCAAGCAATCCTCCCGCCCCGGCCTCCCAGAGTGCTAGGATTATAGGCGTGAGCCACTGTACCTGGCCTGACCTCATCTTTTTTAAAAAAGTTCTATCAAGATATAATTTATATACTGTAAATTTCACTCATGTATAAAGGGAAATTTACAAAGTTGTACAACCATTACAACCCAGTTTTTTTTTTTTTTTTTTTTTTTTTTTTTTTTTTGAGACAGAGTCTCACTTTGTCACCCAGGCTAGAGTGAGTGCCGTGGCGTCTGCCCAGCTCACAGCAACCTCAATCTCCTGGGCTCAAGCGATCCTGCTGCCTCAGCCTCCCAAGTAGCTGGGACTACAGGCATGTGCCACCATGCCCGGCTAATTTTTTCTATATATATTAGTTGGCCAATTAATTTCTTTCTATTTATAGTAGAGACGAGGTCTCGCTCTTGCTCAGGCTGGTTTTGAACTCCTGACCTCGAGCGATCCGCCCGCCTCGGCCTCCCAGAGAGCTAGGATTACAGGCGTGAGCCACCGCGCCCGGCCATACAACCCAGTTTTAAAACAAACATTCAGAATATTTTCAGTCCCCCAGAAGTCCCCATTTTTTAAGTCAATCCTGACTCTGGCCTCATGGAACCTCTGCTCTACTTTCTGTCTCCATGGGTTTGCCTTTTCTAGACATTTTATATAAATGGAATCACATGCTATGTGGTCATTTGCACCCGACTTCTCTTCTTCTCATCCATGTTGTGGAGTGTATGAATAGTTCATCTTTTTTATTGCTGACTAATATTCCATTGTTGAGATATGCCACTTTTTTTTTTTTTTTTTTGAGACAGAGTCTCATTCTGTTGGCCAGGCTAGAGTGCTGTGGCATCAGTCTAGTTCACAGCAACCTCAAACTCCTGGGCTCAAGCGATCCTCCTGCCTCAGCCTCCCGGGTAGCTGGGACTACAGGCATGCTCCACCATGCCTAGCTAAATTTTTTTTATATAAATGTATTTTTTAGTTTGCCAGCTAATTTCTTTCTATTTTTGTAGTAGAGACAGGGTCTCGGCCGGGCTTGGTGGCTCACGCCTGTAATCCTAGCACTCTGGGAGGCCGAGGAGGGAGGATTGCTCGAGGTCAGGAGTTCGAAACCAGCCTGAGCGAGACTCCGTCTCTACTAAAAATAGAAAGAAATTAATTGGCCAACTAAAAATATATAGAAAAAAAATTAGCCGGGCATGGTGGTGCATGCCTGTAGTCCCAATAGCTGGGCATGGGTGCGCATGCCGTACTCCCAAGCTACCGAGAGCCTGAGGCAGGAAGGATTGCTGAGCCCAGGATGCAGGTTGCCTGTGAGCAAGGATGACCCATGGCACTTCACTCAGCCTGGGTAGAGCAAAGTGAGACCTCAAAAAAAAAAAAAAAAAAAAAGATGATTCGGTTTCCTTGCCAGCGCGTTCCCTCGAACCATGACTCAAGCATCCTCTCTTTGCCCGCGGCCTCCCCCAGCGTGCTAGCATCACAAGCATGAGCCACCGCTCTGGCCGAAAAAAGCCACATTTGCTTGTCCACCTTACCAGAACATTGATTTTTCGAGTTTTGGCATCGTTGAATAGCATATGCTAAAAACATTTAATAGAAGTTGTGTAACATTTTGCCATTCCCTTTGGTAGATCCCTTAATCCAAACCTTTAAACATTTTCGCCTTTTATGATCTGTTTAATTTCCATTTATTTTTCAGAGACAGGCTCTCACTCCATCCCACTGGAGCGCAGTGGGGATTCACAGGCGTGATCATGTATACACGCACACCTCGAACTCCTGCATCGGGATGAGCTCTGCGCTCACCCCTCGAGTAGCCTGGACTCCAGGACCGCCACCGCACGTTGGCATCTGTTCGTTCGATTTTTGGGTGCCAACTCTAACATAACGGTATGCATCTTCCATTGAAGGACCACTTACGCATAATCAACCATCCCCT